GTGTGTTACTAATTTTTTCCCAAAATGGGATTGTTTTAACCACAAAATCAGGATTTTTAAGCTTTCAGACTGCGGGATTTTATGACAAAAGCAGGTTTTTTTTATTCCTTAAATGTGGATCTAAGGTCTTTAAATTGCAATATTAATCTCCAAAATTGATGGGTTTTTTACTTTGAATCAGCTTTTTTAACTGAAATGCCCTTCTTACGTCTAAATATGGATGACTTAATTTTCAAAAAAGTATATTTTAGTTCTCTAAATATTAATGTTTTGGATTTAAGGGATCTCTTTCAATAATGAAAGGGTTTTTTGCTGCTAAAATGCAGCTTTTTGGTCCCAAAACATTTTTTTTTCCCAGCCCCAAGATGGAGATTCGGAGCTCCAGCTCAGCATCTTTGTTTTGCAAAACAACATTTCCGTCCAAAATCTTGGATCTATCCCCAAAACGTGGAGTTTGGAGGAGAAAAAGGACTGGATTTATTTTCCAGAAGTAGAAATGAGGGTTAAAATCGGGATTTTCTGCAGCTCGGAGGGAGCTCCCAGCCCCAAAATGGAGGTTTCCAGCCCCAAAATGGAGGGTCGGGGGAAGAATCGCAGCTTTGTGCTTCCAAATCCGCTTTTTTCTAGCCTCAAAATCGCCGCTTTTTCTCCAAAATTAACGGGGTTTGTTTAAATTTTTCTCTTTTTTTCTTTTTTTTTCTTTTTTTTTTTTTTGCACAAACTGGTGATTTTTTGCCCAAAAAATTTTGTTTTGGGCCTCGAAATTTGCAATTTTTCCGACCCAAATGTCATTTTTATGCTTCAAAAATCCCTTTTTCCCTCTGAATATCCACTTCACCCACAAAACGGCCTCCTTTAACCCAATAGTTCTTAGTTTTTTTCTTTTTTAAATGTTGCTTGTTGTCGCAAAATCGTCCTTTTCAGCCCCATCCCCCTCTCTTTGTGTCTCCAGACCGCATTTCCTGCCCCCGAAATGAACATTTCCATTTCCTGCCCCACGCTGAAATCTTTCTTTTCCAAAACGTTTCAAATTGGAGTTTTTAACACTAAAAAGCGATTTTTTTTTTTTTTTAGCTTTGGGAAAGAGGTTTTGAACCCAAATTGTGATTTTGAGGCCCAAAGAAANCCACAAATCCCCCAAATTCACCCCAAATTCCATTGGGGATCCACAAAACCCTCCCAGGAACCGCCAAAATCCACCGGCCACCCCCAAAATCCCCAAATTCGCCCTAAATTCCACCTGGGACCCCCCAAAAATCACCCAAAAAATTCACCTGAGACCCCCCCAAACCACCCTGGGTCTCCCAAAATCCACCGGGAACCCCAAAATTCTACCTGGGACCCCCCAAATTCACGGGAAACCCCAAAAAATCCACCTGGAACCCTCCCTGAATCCCCAGGGGGCTCCCAAATGGACCAGAGACCCCAAAAATCACTCTGGACCCCCCAAAATTCACCTGTGGGGTGGGCGGAGCTTCTGCTTCCTCCTGGGCGGGGCTTGGGGGACCCTCCACATCTGGATTTGGGGCCGCCTCCTCCACATCTGGAACCTGGGGCTGGTCCGGGGCCCTTTCGGGTCTTTCCAGGGGTTCCACATCTGGGGCAGGGGGCAGGAACAGCTGGGTGGCCACATCTGGATTCAGGCCAGGGCTCCCCGGCCCGTCCACATCTGGACTTGGGGTGTCCACCTCCACATCTGGAATTTCAGGGACTTCCGGGGCCGTTTGGGGTCTTTTTGAGGCTGCCACATCTGGATTTGGGCCCACCTTCCCCACATCTGGATCAGCATCCCCCAGCAATGTCCTGTGGCCCCTCAGTGACTCCCCCACATCTGGATTTGGTCTCTCCATGTCCACATCTGGAATGTCGGGCAGGTTTAGGGCACTTTTGGGTGGGTTTGGGGACCCAACACCTCGTTCTGAGGGTCCTTCCCCCTGCACATCTGGATCAGGGGGCAGGAACAGCTGGGTGGCCACATCCAAGTCCTCCTCCCCCTCCACATCTGGATCTGGGGTCTCCACCCTCACAGCGGGAATCTTGGGGTCATTTGAGGCCATTTTGGATTGTTTTGGACCCAGAACATCTGGATTTAGGCTGTCCTCCACACCTGGATGTGGAGGCAGGAACAGCTGTGTGGCCACATCTGGATCCAGAGAGGGCAGCCCCTCTACATCTGGAACTTTGGGGTCCTTTGGGGCCGTTTTGGGGCCTTCTGGGCTCCCAACATCTGGAGAAGGCAGGAACAGCTGGGTGGCCACATCTGGATCTGACTCCTGTTCTTCCCCCTCATCTGGATCTGGGGTTTCCTCCTCCACATCTGGAATTTTGGGAGGGTTCTGGGTCATTTTGGGTCCTTTTGGGCTCGCGACATCAGGGGAGGGCAGGAACAGCTGGGTGGCCATATCCGGATTTGACTCCTCTTCCTCCTCCACATCTGGAATTTCCGGGGGCTTCTGGGTCATTTTGAGTCGTTCTGGGCTCCCAACATCTGGGTCCGCCTCGGCCTCCCCCACATCTGGATTTGGGGGCAGGAACAGCTGGGTGGCCACATCTGGATCCCACCCTTCCTCCTCTCCCTCCGCATCTGGCGTCTCGGCCACAGTTTGGGTCTCTTGGAGCCTCCCAACATCTGGATTTTTCAGCCTCACATCTGGAGTTTCAGGCACGTTTGGGGCTGGTTTCAATCTTTTTAAGGATCCAACATCTGGCTTTGCCTCCTCGTCCACATCTGTGTCGCTGTCATCCAGCAGCACCCCGTGACCCCTCCGTGACCTCTTCACAGCTGGATTTGGGGGCTGTGGGGGCACATCTGGAGTCTGGGGCACATTTTGAGGAATCTTCCATCTTTTTGAATGACAAACATCTGGATTCACCTCATCCTCCTCCACATCTGTGTCACTGTCCACCAGCAGTGCCCGATACCCATTTTGGGTCATTCCAACATCTGGGCTTGGGGTCTGTGCCACCACATCTGGACTTTCAAGCACATTTTGGGTCATTCCAAGTTTTTTGAGGGTCTCAGCATCTGGACTCACCTCCTCCTCCTCCTCCACATCTGTGTCACTGTCCACCAGGAATGCCTGGCACCTGATTTCAGGGCCTGAAACATCTGGATTTGGGGGCTTCGCAGCCACATCTGGCGTTTCGGGGATGTTTTGGGTCGCTCTGAGCTGTTTCAGGGGCTGCACATCTGGATCCTCCTCCACATCTGTGTCGCTGTCCACCAGCAGCATCTGGCTCCTGATTGTGGGGACTGGAACATCTGGATTTTGCATCCCCCGTCGCACAGCTGGAGCTTTGGGCAAGTGCTGAGTCCTTCTGAGCCTTTTTGGGGGCTGCACATCTGGATCGTCCTCCACATCTGTGTCGCTGTCCTCCACCAGTGTCTGGAGGCCAATTCTGGGGCTCTCCACAGCTGGATTTGGGGTCGCCACCTCCACATCTGGATTTCTGTGCACGTTTTGGGTCACTTTGAGCCTTTTAGGGGGCTGCACATCTGGATTCACTTCGTCTTCCACATCTGTATCACTGTCCACCAGCAGCATCTGAGAACAGAGTTTTGGGCCCGAAACATCTGGATTCAGGCGTTTTGCTGCCACATCTGGAGTTTCGGACACATTTTGGGGCATTCTGAGTTGTTTTTGGGGCTGCACATCTGGATTCTGCTCCTCCCCCTCCACATCTGTGTCGCTGTCCATCAGGATTACCCAGTGTCCAATTTTGGGCGCCCTCACAGCTGGACTTGAGGTTTCCACCTCCACATCTGGAATTCCAGGCACGTTTTGGGTCACTTTAAGCCTTTTCTGGGGCTGCACATCTGGATCCTCGTCCACATCTGTGTCACTGTCCACCAGCTCCACCCTGTGTCGTATTTTTGGGCCTGCAACATCTGGATTTGGGGTCTTTCCTGCAACATCTGGAGTTTCCGGGACGTTCTGGGTAATTTTCAGCCGTTCTGGGGGCTCCACTTCTGGATCAGCCTCCTCCTCCTCCACATCTGTGTCGCTCTCCACCAGCAGCGTGCCACGCCCACTTTTAAGCCATGGAACATCTGGATTTGGGGTTTTTAGCCTCACATCTGGAGTTTCAGGCACATTTTGGGTCATTTTAAGCCATTTCTGTGGCCCAGCATCTGGGCTTGGCCCCTCCTCCTCCACATCTGTGTCACTGTCCACCTGCAGCGTCCGGTGCCCATTTCTGGCCCATAGCACATCTGGATTTGGGGTTTCTGCTGCCACATCTGGAGCCTCTGAGGGGTTTTGGGATACTTTGGGCATTTTCAGGTCCTCAACATCTGGATCTGGCCCCTCCCCGATCACATCTGGGGGCCCTCAACATCTGGGGGCACAGCTGGATCCTCCAGGGCACTGCAAAGGGGGATTGGGGGGGGGGGGCTCAGGAGTTTGGAACCTCCAAAATCCCCCAAGGATCCCAAAAATAACCCAAAAAGCCCCAAAGCCCCTTTCAGGACTACACAAACTGCCCCAAAACACTCCAAAAATGGCCCTGAAATGGCCCCAAAACACCCCAAAACTGGGCCTGAAACAGCCCCAAAACTGTCCAAAATACCCCAAAAATAGCCTTGAAACAGCCCCAAAACCCAACTCCATAAACGGCCCTAAAACAGCCCCAAAAATAGCCCTAAAATGGCCCCAAAAAACCCCCTAAATGGCCCTGAAATGGCCCCAAAACACCCCAAAAATGGCCCTGAAATGGGCCTGAAACACCCCAAAAATGGGCCTGAAACAGCCCAAAATCCAGCCCTGAAACCGCCCCCAAATGGCCCTGAAACTGCCCCAAACCAGCCCAAATACAGCCAGAAAAACAGCCCCCAAAATGGAACCAAACCAGCCCTGAAACAGCCCTGAAACAGCCCAAAAACAGCTCAAAACCAACCCTAAATTACCCAAAACCAGCCCAAAAACGGCCCAAAAACAGCCCTAAAAAACCCCCAAAACCAGCCCAAAATTACCCCAAAACCAGCCCAAAAATGGCCCCAAAACACCCCCAAAAACGGCCCAAAAACGGCCCTAAAACACCCCAAAAAACAGCCCAAAAACGGGCCTAAAACAGCCCCAAAACCAGCCCAAAAACGGGCCTAAAACAGCCCAAAAACGGCCCAAAAACAGCTCTAAAACAGCCCAAAAACCAGCCCAAAAATGGGCCTAAAACACCCCAAAACCAGCCCAAAAACAGCCCTAAAACAGCCCCAAACCAGCCCAAAAATCNCCCCAAAAACCCCATCAGGAACACCAAAAACCCCATCAGAACTCCAAATAACCCAGCGAGAAACCCCAAATAACCCACAGAGTAACCCCAAATAACAGAACTCGGTGCTGGGGACACGAGATCACCAGGACACGGGACTGGGGACCCAAAAACACAGCCAGGAACACCAAAAACCCCATCAGGAACCCCAAAAACACAGTCAGGAACCCCAAATAACCCAAAAAAAACCCCCAAATAACCCACAGAGAAACCCCAAATAACCCAGCGAGAAACCCCAAATAACCCACAGAGTAACCCCAAATAACAGAGCTCAGTGCTGGGGACACGAGATCACCAGGACACGGGGCTGGGGACCCAAAAACGCAGTCAGGAACCCCAAAAACCCCATCAGGAACACCAAAAACACAGTCAGGATCCCCCAAATAACCCAGAGAGAAACTCAAATAACCCACACAGCTCAGCCCTGGGGACATGAGATTACCAGAACATGGGGCTGGGGTAAAAACCCCATCAGAAACCCCAAATAACCCAGTGAGAAACCCCAAATAACAAACAGAGCCCAGTGGGAAAAACCCCAAAAACCTGTCAGGAGCCCCAAATAGCCCAGAGAGAAACCCCAAATAACAAACACAGCCTGGTCCTGGGGACGTGAGATCAGCAGGACATGGGGCTGGGAACCCTAAAAACCCTGTCAGGAACCCCAAATAACACAGAGAGAACCCCAAAAACCCCATCAGGAACCCCAAATAACCCATCAGAAACCCCAAAAACCCTGCCAAAAACCCCAAATAACCCACAGAGTAACCCCAAATAACAGAGCTCGGTGCTGGGGACACGAGATCACCAGGACACGGGGCTGGGGACCCAAAAACACAGTCAGAAACCCCAAAAACACAGCCAGGAACACAAAAAACCCCATCAGGAACCCCCAAAACACAGCCAGGAACCCCAAAAACACAGTCAGGAGCCCCAAATAACACAGACAGAAACCCCAAAAACCCAATGAGGAACACCAAAACCCCAGAGACAGCCCCCAAAAACCCCATGACAAACCCCAAAAACCCAAAGAGGAATGTGAAGAACCTCAAAGAGAACCCAAATACCCCCAAAAACCCAGAGAGGAACTCCAAACCCCAATGGGATCAGAAAGGTCCTGGAGATCACCAGGACACAAGGCTAGGGGGAATCGGGTCAGGACCCCAAGAACCAGTGAGAAACCCCAAAATCCCAGAGAGGAACCCCCAAAACCCCATCAGAAACCCCAAACCCGAACGGGATCCCAACGGTCCTGGGGACAGTAAATGACCAGCACCCAGGGCTGGGGGGAAACAGTGTCAGAACCCCAAACACCCTATCAGAAACCCCAAATACCCCAAAAGAACCCCAAATAATCCAGTGAGGAACCCCAAACCCCACCCAGCCCAGTCCTGGGGATACAAGGTCACTGGAACAGAGGGCTGGTGGAAAAACCCAAAAAAACCCCATCAGAAACCCCAAATACCCCACATGGCCCAGTCTTGGGGACACGAGATCACCAGGACACCAGGCTGAGGGGGAAACCCCAAAAACCCCATCAGGAACCCCAAATAACCCATCAGAAACCCAAAAAAACCTGTCAGGCACCCCAAATACATCATCAGGAGCCCCAAATAACCCATCAAAAACCCCAAATGGTCCAGAGAGAAGCCCTAAATAATCCACCCAGCCCAATCTTGGGGACAGGAAATGACCACCATAAGGGGCCAGGGAACCCCAAAAACACAGTGAAGAGCCCCAAATAACCCAGAGTGAAACCCCAAATATCCCATCAGGAACCCCAAATAACCCATCAAAACCCCCAAAAATCCAGTCAGAAACCCCAAATAACCCACCCAGCCCTGTCCTGGGGACACGAGATCACCAGGACACTGGGCTTGGGGGGAAAACCCCATCAGAAATCCCAAATAACCCAATGAGAAACCCCAAATAACCCACAGAGAAACCCCAAAAAATCCACAGAGAAACCCCAAATAACAAACAGAGCCCAGGGGCAAAAACCCTGTCAGGAACCCCAAATAACACAGAGAGAAACCCCCAAAACCCCATCAGGAACCCCAAAAACCCGATCAGAAACCCTAAATACCCCATGAGGAACTCCAAATAACCTAGTGAGAAACCCCAAATAACCCTGCTAGGAACCCCAAATAACCCATCAAAAACCCCATCAGGAACCCCAAATAACCCAGAGAGAAACCCCAAATAACCCACATGGCCCAGTCCTGGGAACAGGAAATGACAAGCACAAGGGACCAGGGAACCCCAAAAACACAGTGAGGAGCCCCAAATAACCCAGACGGAAACCCCAAATACCCCACCCAGCCCTGTCCTGGGGGCACGAGATCACCAGCACCCAGAGCTGGGGGAAATGGGTCAGGACCCCAGAATCCCATCAGAAACCCCAAAACCTCAGTGAGAAACCCCCAAAACCCCGCNGGGGAGGTCTTGTGGATCCTGCCTGTCACTTGGCCACACCCCCAAATTCCTTTAAATTCCTAAATCCTTCATTTTTTCCCCAAAAACACTGCCATGGGGAGGTGGCTGATGCTGGATTTACATCCCATTCTTTCTATAAAATCTCAACATCCCCTTTTTTGAACCCAAAATAAATCCCGGGTGTAGCAAAGTGGGCGTAGCCCTTCTCCTCCACAAGCTCTGCTCCTCTATCCCAGACTATGCCATCAATTTTCCTTTAAATCCCAATTTCTTTTCCTTAAAATCCAGAAATTTTGATGCTTCTCAATTGCTGTTTCGTATCTTAAAACCCAATTTCCTTTTTTAAAATTCCTGAGTTTTTTTTACCTCCAAACCCCCATTTTCTCCCCCAAAATGGGGTCCCCGGTGTAGCAAAGTGGGTGTGGCCCAGCTGCCTTCAGCCCTCCTTAAGCTCAACCACTTTTAGCCCCCAACTCCCATTTCTCACCTTAAAATTCCGGTTTTTTTTATCAATCTAAATAAAATATAATTAAATTAAAAATTAAATAAAACAAAATTCTAATTTTTTTCCCCAGAATTGAGTCTGGGTGGGCTCTTTATCTCCTCCACCTTTTAACCCTGGCCACACCCCCAAACCCCCATTTCCTACCCTAATATTCCCATTTCTCCCCCTAAAATCACAATTTTTTTTTCTTCTCCAAATCCTTATTTTTCTCCTAACTTGGGTCCCATTTGTCCCAAAGTGGGCGTGGCCCAGCTGATCTCACTCCTCCACCAGCCCCGCCCCTTTTCACCCTCTGACCACGCCCCCAAGCCCCCTTTTCCACCTTAAAATCCCCATTTTTCCTCTCAAAACCTCCAGGTTTTTTCCCCAAATTCCCGTTTTTTGCCCCACACCTGCTCCTGGGCTGTCCCTGAGCTGTCCCCAAGCTGTCCCCTTGTCCCCACAGTTCTGGGAGGTGATCAGTGACGAGCACGGCATCGACCCCACGGGCACCTACCATGGGGACAGCGACCTGCAGCTGGACCGCATCAGCGTCTACTACAACGAGGCCACAGGTGGGGACACCTGGTGGCACTTGGGGACAGCTGCCACACCCCCCGGGGCTCCCCTGCGCTTCCCCCCTCGTTGTGTCACTCAGTGTGGGTGGCACTTGGTGGCATTTGGCTTCTCCCCAGTGTCACTTGTCCCCCTGTCACGTTCCTTTGTTTGTCACTTTGTCACTGCCTCACCCCCACATTGCCACTCCTTGCTTTGTTACCCTCCTGTGTCACCCTGTCCCCAGTGTCACCCCCCCCCAGTGTCACTTTCCTGTGTTATCACTTTGTCATCCCTGTGTCACTGTGTCCCTTAGTGTCACCTTTGTCTGTCCTGCTGTCACCTCCCAGTGTCACTTTGTCCTTTTCCATGCCCTGTGTCATCTCATTTCTTGTGTCCCTGAGTGCCATCCCCTCCTTTGTCACAGCGGTGGCGTCACCTTGTCCTGTCACCTCCCAGTGTCACCCCCAGCCTTGTCACCTATCAGTGTCGCTTGTCCATTGTCACCTATCAGTGTTTTTTGTCCCCTGTCACCTTCAGTTCTGGGGATGCCCTGGTGTCCATTGCCACCTCCTGTGTCACCCTGTGACCCCCCTGGTGTCACTGCATCCTGTCCCCTCCCAGTGTCACCCTGTTCCCTGTCACCCACATCTTGTCCCCAATGTACCTCCAGTGTCACCTGTTCATTGTCACCCCCCCCCCATGTCACTTGTCCCCTGTGACCCCTAACCTGTCCCCAATGTCCCCGCCCACCCCGTGTCACCTGTCCTTTGTCACCTGTGTGTGCCACCCTGTGCTCTGTGTCCCTTCCCCCCCGGTGTCACCTGTCCATTGTCGTTTGTCTCCTCCCTGTCCCCATGTCCCATCCTAGGTTCCTCTGGGGGAGCTTTTGGGGTGGGTTTGGGGAATTTGGGGTGAATTTGACACTTCTGGGGTTGTTTTGATGTTGATTTGGGATGATTTTGGGGTAATTTTGAGAGGATTTGAAATAAATTTGGGGGGGTTGGGGTTGAATTTGGGGGTGATTTTGGGTGGTTTAGGTCATTTGGGCTGTTTTTGGGGTGAATTGGGCAGTTTTGGAAGTCCTTTAGGGTTGAGTCTTAGAGAGGTCTGGATTGTTTTTAGGTCATTTTGGGTGTTCTGGGGCAATTTTGGATACTTGTAGGTGATTTTGAATATTTTAGGCTTGGTCCAAAGTGGGTTTGAGGTGATTTTAGATGGTTTGGGAATGATTTTAAACAATTTGGAGTAATCTGGGGGCTTTTGGGGTTCATTTTGGGTGGATTTAGAGCCATTTTTGGGGTGATTTTTCCTGGCTTTGGGGTGAATTTGGGTGGTTTGGGGTTGATTCCAGGAGATTTGGGGTAATTTTGGGAGGGTTTGGGTGTGATTATGGGTGTTTTGGGGGTGAACTTAAAAGGATTTGGAATGATTATGAGGTTATTCCAGATATTTATGGGGTAATTCTGGGTGGTTTGGGGGTGATTTTGGCTCTTTTTGGGCTCAGTTTTGGTTTAATTTAAGGTGGTTTTGGGTGATTTGGAACATTTGGGGTGGTTTGGGGGTGATTTTGGGTGTTTTGCTGTCACATGGGGTGGTTTGGGACATTTTAGGAGTGATTTTGGTTTTTTCTGGGTTAACTCTTGAGCATTTTGGGGGCAATTTTGGGTGGGCTTGGGGTAATTCTGGGTGATTTTTGGGGACAATTCCAGGTGGTTTTGGGGTGATTTTGGTGGTTTTTGAGGTAATTCTGGAGGGTTTGGCGTGTGTTTAAGGTAATTCTGGGTTGGTTTGGTTGTTTCTGGGTTGTTTTAGAGTATTTCTTGGTTTTAGGGTAATTCTGAGTGTTTCTGAGGTAATTCCAGGTAGTCATTGGGGTGATTCCAGATAATTTTGGGGTGATTCCAGATGGTTTGGGGTAATTCCAGTGGTTTTTGATCTAATTCTGAGTGTTTTGGGGTGATTCCAGGTGTTTATAGGGTGTATTTAGGGTGATTCTGGATGGTTTGGGGTTAATTTTGGATGGTTTGGAGGTAACTCTTCTGGTTTTGGGGTGAATTCTCTGGGTTTTGGTGACGTTTTTGCTGTCCCCAGGGGGTAAATACGTGCCCAGGGCCATCCTGGTGGATCTGGAGCCCGGCACGATGGACTCGGTGCGCTCCGGCCCCTTCGGGCAGATCTTCCGGCCTGACAACTTCGTGTTCGGTGAGTGACACACCTGGGACACCTGGGGACACCTGGGACACCCTGGGCATGCCGGGGGACATTGGGACACGCTTGGGGACACCTGGGACACACACCTGGGGACACCTTGGACATGCTTGGGGACAACTGGGACATAGCTGGGACATACCTGGGACACCTGGGGATATCTGGGGATACACCTGGGACACCTGGAGGTTCCTGGGGACATCGAGGACACCTGTGGGCACACTTGGGGACATCTGGGATACACCTGGGACACGCTTGGGGACACCTGGAACATAGCTGGGACACGCTTGGGGACAACTGGGACACCTGGGGGCACATCTGAGGGACATTGGGGTACACCTGGTGGCATACTTGGGGATATCTGGGATACACCTTGGGCCACCTGGGACACCTGGAGGTTCCTGGGGACATCAAGGACACCTGTGGGACATCAGGAAACACCTGCAGGCACACTCGGGGACATCTGGGATACACCTGGGGACACATCTGGGATGCCTTGGGCATGCTGGGGGAATTTGGGACACGCTTGGGGACACCTGGGACACACACCTGGGGACACCTTGGACATGCTTGGGGACAACTGGGACATCTAGGGGACATTGGGGTACACCTGGTGGCATACTTGGGGACATCTGAGGATACACCTGGGACACCTGGAGGCTCCTGGGGACATCAAGGACACCTGTGGGACATCAGGAAACACCTGCAGGCACACTCTGGGACATCTGGAATACACCTGGGACACCTTGGGCATGCTTGGGGACACCTAGGACACACCTGGGGACATTGGGGGGCTCCTGGGGACATTAAAACACACTTGGGACACACCTGGGGGCTCCTGAGGGACACCTGGGGATGCTCAAGGCATCTGGGGACTCTTGGCACGTGGCAAGGACAGCTGCAGACACCTGGGACACACTTGGGGACATGCCTGGGAGTTCTGGGGACATCTGCAGACTCCTGAAGGCTCCTGAGGGCATCTTGGGACATCTGGGGGTTGCTGAGGGACATCAGGGATATCTCTGGGTTTTTGGGGAACACCTGGGGACACTTGGGGACTCTCGAGGGACATCAGGTTCACTTCAGGACACACTTGGGGACACACCTGGGATGTATGTGGGACAGCAGGGGGTGGACTCAAGGGATGGCAGGGCCCTAAAGGGGAGATCAAGGTCCCCTGGTGTCCCAAGGGTGACATGAAGGTCCCCAAAGTGAGGTTAAAGTCCCCACAGGTAGGATCAGGGTCCCTGAGGATCCCCAAGTTGGGGCTGAACATCCCCAAAGGGTGGGGTTGAGGTCCCTGAGGTCCCCAAAGGTGGGATCGAGGTCTCTTAAAGAGCGATGGGAAGGTCCCCAAAGAGGGGACAGAAGTGTTTGAGGTCCCCAAGAGTGGGAGGAAGGTCCCCAAGGTGGTGAAGAGTTGCCTGAGGTTCTCAAAAATGCTTTGAAGGTCCCCAAAAATGGTTTGAGGGTTCCAGAAGTCTTCAGCACTAACCTGAAGGTCTCCAAAAGTGAATAAAGAGTCTTCAATGTTCCCAAAGGTGTTTGAGGGTCCCTAAAGTCAGCTTGAAGACCCCAACCCAATTCCTCCCTGTCTGCCTGTGGCCAAGGGTCACCTTGGGGGGAGGGGCTGAGCTGGGGGGGTCAGGGGTCCTCAAAGGTCCTCAGAATTATTTGAAGGTCCTGAAAGTGGCTTGAACATTCTCAAGGTGGAAATGGAGCTGCTTGTCATCCCCAAAAGCGATTCAAGGGTCTTCAAGGTCATCAAGGTTGGGTTGAGAATCCCTAAAGATGGTTTGAAGCTACCTAAGGTCCCCAAAGGTACTCAGAGGGTCTCCAGGTTTGAGGGTCCTAAAGATCCTCAAAGCTGGTTCAAAGTTCCTCAAAGGTGATTTTGAGGCTCCCCAAGGTGGTTTTGAGGTTCTTGAAGTCCCCAAAGATGGTTTAAAGGTCTCCAAACATGGTGTAAAGGTTCTCAAAAGTGGTGTAAAGGTTCTCAAAGGTGGTTTGAAGGTTCTTAAAGTTGGTTTGAAGACCCCAACCCAACCCTTGCTCCCCTTTTCCAGGCCAAAGCGGTGCTGGCAACAACTGGGCCAAGGGCCACTACACGGAGGGCGCCGAGCTGGTGGACTCGGTGCTGGACGTGGTGCGCAAGGAGTGTGAGAACTGCGACTGCCTGCAGGGCTTCCAGCTGAC